AGAGCTTTTCTATTTCTGAGTTTTTGTGTGGATTTTACAGATTCACGGCGGAGGTGGAAATTGAGAGATAACCGACATAACTTTTCGTGTCGATTCCCATAGATGGCGTCAAATGTTGATGCACAAAACCGGAGGTCTTGGTACAACGTAAATCCAACTGTGAATCTGCAAGTAATGTAAATAACACAAGATGTATCATGGTTCACCCCAAGGTTTGGGCTACGTCCACACTAAATATGTATTTATTTGAGGGAGAGAGAGGGGGGGGAGCTCTGTAATGTGAGAGCTTTGAGAGGGGGTGAGAAGCTTAGGGTTTGTGAGGGTGAGGAGGCCCTTTTATAGAATAAGGGCTCCTCCCCTAATTACATATTTGCCCCTTCCTCTATTACATAATTACATTTAAGTCCCTCGAGTATTTATACGAGGTCTAAATACGAGGCCCTAAATATGGTATAAACAAAGTCATTATGCAACTGATTACTGCCACCTTATCCCCTATTGCTATGTCTTGTGCCATTGGTAGTATGAGTTCCAAAGATCTGTGGACTAGGCTAAAAGAGCAATTTTCCATAGTCTTTAGGACTAGTATCTTCTAGATGAAGTCTAATTTGCAGACAATTAAGAAAGGATCAGACTCTGTCTCTCAATACTTGCATCGCATTAAAGAATCTAGGGACTATCTTTCTGTTGCTGGTGTGCACTTTGCAGATAAAGACATTGTTATTCTTGCATTGAATGGCCTTTCAACGAAGTATAATACATTTAGGTGTGTAATAAGGAGGGGTGAAAGTGTGATTTCTCTAAAAGATTTCTGATCACAGTTGCTTGCCAAGGAAACAATTGTTAAGAACTTCATCAATGCACTTTTCATGACAGCTATGGTTGCTAATACAAGTCTTACTACCTCAAAAGGTCATAATCTTCAAACTCGAGGTTTTTCTCACCCTCAAGGTCAATCTCAGTTTGCTACTGGTGGGTTTAAGTCATTCCAAGGAAATACGAACAAGGGTAAAAACAGGTTCAATCAAGGATCTAGATTCTATAATGCTCGACCTGTGTTTTCCACTCAAACCCATGTCTTACCTAATACTAATCCTGGCATGCTTGGTCAGTCTCCCACTCCACAATTTGGTAGCCCTTCTGCTCAAATACTTCAAATATGTCAACTTTGCAACTCAGAGGGTCACACTGCTCCATTATGTGGTTCGACTTCAGTTGAGAAAAACAAATGCCATATTTGTGGTCACAGTAATCATACCACATGGTTCTGCTTCTACAATGACCAGGGTCAGAACTATATTAGGATGCATACCACTGCACCTTATTCTCAACCGTCTTCTTATTCCATGTCTCCACAAAATGTCAACTATTCTACTTTCACACCCTCTTAGTTCTAATCACAGCAACATCTCATGCAAGCCATGCACACAATGCTTAATCATAGTGCACCTTTAACCTCAAGACCTCAAACTTCTCCTCAAGTGTGGCTCACTGACTCGGGGGCCACTAATCACATGACAGCTGACTTGAGCAACTTGTCCCTAGCATCATCTTACCCAACTAATGAGATTATACAAACTGCAAATGGTGAAGGTTTGATAATATCTCATATTAGTTCTTCCATTATTCATACACCAGTTTCTCCCATCAAACTCAACTTTGTGCTTTATGTCCCTCAGTTAACTCATAATCTTTTATCAGTACATCGAATTTGTCTTGACAACAATGGTTGGCTTATATTTGATGCTTTTTGTTTTTGGATTCAGGACAAAGTCATAGGGATGATTCTCTACAAAGGGTTGTGCAGTAATGGACTATACCCTATTCATTCTTTGACACACTCAACCTCACAGAAGAACTTTTAAGCTCGGGCACTTCTTGGATAGCTTGTTCAGTCTAATCTTTGGCATCATAGGTTAGGTCACCCTACCAATAATGTGGTTTCTTTGATGCTACACAAAGCTAATGTACCCTTCACAAAGTCCTCACTACCTACATTGTGTCATACTTGTCTAGAAGGGAAGTTTAGTAAACTCCCATTCCAACAACATGTTAATAAGTCTGTAATTTTTAAGATCATTCACAATGATATCTAGGGTCCTGCACCATGTATATCAGTTGATGGTTACATATATTACAACATCTTTGTAGATGAATGTACTAGAAATTGTTGGATCTTCCCATTAATAAATAAATCAGATTTGTTTCCCATTTTTGTTGTTTTCCATTCCTTTATTGTCACTTAATTTTCTGCAACTATCAAGATTTTACAATCTGATTTTTTTTAGGGGGGGTGAGTATACTAGTCACAAATTCACACAATTTCTCTTGACCATGGGTATTTCTCACCATATCTCTTGTCCATATACTCCTAAGCAAAATGGATTAGCCGAGAGAAAGCATAGACATATTATGGAAACCATTGTCACCTTGCTACAAACTACTAGGCCACCACCTCAGTTTTGGTCCTATGCATGTCAAACAACAACCTATCTTATAAATCGAATGCCCACTACTGTTCTTCATAACAAGTCTCCATTTGAATTATTGTTTAAAGCATGTCCTAGTCTTAGTCACCTTCGAATCTTTGGTTGTGCTTGCTTTCCTCTACTCAAACCCTATAATAGCACCAAGTTGCAAGCCAAAACAACTAAGTGTGTCTTTCTTGGTTATGCAACCAAATACAATGGGTATCTGTGCTATCATGTATCTACAAAAAAGGTGTTTATCTCTAGGCATGTCATTTTTTATGAACAATCTTTTCCTTACACAGAATTATTAGCTGCACAATCCTTCAATACCACAATTTCACACATTCATAATACCTATCCTTGCCCAGTGGCTTCTGTGACACCAAAAAATGTAGTTGTCCACATGCACCAGTTACCATTTACTCTTCTCCAAGTTCCATTCTTCCTAATCCTACCAATATACCTGCATCAATCTCCGTATCTACTCCATAGTCATTATCTCCTATTAACTCTCACAGTTCTCAGTCCATTACTGCAACAACACAAGCTTCACCTTAAATCCCTGTGGCACCTGAGTCCATTACTGATCTGAGTCCTATTTCTGCCACAGAAGCAAATGAGTTTCACCCTAATACTTTACAAGTAGTTATATCCATTCCACCATTAAACTTGCATCCTATGCAAACTAGGAGCAAAAGTGGAATCATTAAAAAGAATGCTCTTTTAGCAAGTATTCAATAATCTAGGGGCACTGATGTCCTTGATTGAACCAGCAAGTTATAAGTCTACACTCAAAGTTCCTGTGTGGTTACAAGCAATGCAAGAAGAAATTAAGGCCTTGCATGATCAAGGCACTTAAAGCTTAGTCCATTTACTTGCAAACAAGAACTTGGTGGGATGTAAATGGATTTTCAAACTTAAGAAACACTCTGATGGGTCTATTGCTCGACACAAAGCACGATTAGTTGCAAAAGGGTTTAATCAAGAGCCAGGATTGGATTATGGGGAGACCTTTAGTCCTGTGGTTAAACCTACCACAGTGAGGTTAGTTCTTGCTCTTGCTGCACATTTCAATTGGTCTCTTCGACAGCTAGATGTGAAGAATGCATTTTTTTCATGGCACATTACATGAAGAAGTATACATGTCTCAACCACCTGGTTTTGAAGATTCAACTCGACCTTATCTTGTGTGCAAATTGCATAAGTCATTATATGGTATGAAACAAGCTCCTCCAGCCTAGAATGAATGATCCACTCATTTTCTTCCTTCTTTGGGATTTCTCAGTACATATTCTGATTCCTCCTTATTTGTTAAACATGTTGGTAATGACATTGTGATACTGTTACTCTATGTGGATGATATAATCATTACTGGGACTGCCACTGCTTCTATCACACAGCTGATTCAGGCCCTTACCACTGAGTTTGATATCAAGGATCTCAGGCCACTCCATTATTTCTTGGGCACCCTGATTACTACAACTGCAACTGGCTTATTTCTGTCTCAAAACAAATATGTTCAGGATCTATTGATAAAGGTTGAAATGATTGATGCAAAGCCTTGTGATACCCTATGCCTACCTTATGACAGGTTATTAAAAGAAGATGGTGATCCTTATTCTAACCTTGGTTTCTATAGAAGTGTTGTAGGGGCATTACAATACCTCACATTTACAAGGCTTGATATTGCCTTTTCTATACATCAAGTCAGTTAATTCATGCAGGATCCTATGGTATCCCATTTCACAGCAGTTAAACGAATTTTGAGATATCTCAAGGGGACAATGCAGTTTGGCATATCGTATACTCGTGGAGATTTACAATTAAAAGCCTTTAGTGATGTTGATTGGGCTGGTGATCCCAATGACAGGCGCTCAACTACGGGTTTAGTAGTATTTTTGAGTAACAATCCCATTTCACACATCTACGAAACCATTTATTAGTGTCGCTATGATAACCGACAAGAAACGTATATTACTGTTGGATATTAAGTAAAATCCGACAGAAAATGGATGCAGTGACGGATATAATAAGCGACAGAATTGCCAGCGTCAGAAAATGAATTTTTCGACAGAAAATACTCTAAAACCGACAGAACTTGTGTCAGATATAACCGACAGAGATATATTATAATGAATAAATAAGAGCATTCTCTATCGGATAAAACCGACAGAAAATACTCTAAAACCGATAGAACTTGTGTCGGATATAACCGACAACGAATTTATTAATAATGAATAAATAAGAGCATTCTCTATCCGATAAAACCGACAACAAATATATTAATAATAAAAAAATATATATAAAAATATATTTGGTTTCCAAGGGGGTTGATCAAACCCCTTATGCAAAACATAATACATTATTAAACTTGCATCTGTGGAACCAACTACATAATTTAAATATGAAAACAGAGAAGATAGCATAACACCGTTGAAACAAAATGACGAAATCAGCCATCTGCATGAAAATAGAGTTGTGTATCTGAATCGTGCACAAATCTATATCATTACCAAGTAACATATGCCTAATAAAATCGACAAACTACCCAATATTTTTTGTTACATTTAAATATTTTTTTACCTTGCAGTTGGGAGCGGCATGCTTTTCCAGTGCAGAAGCTTGAGACTTGTAGATGGAAACGTTCTTTGTCATGACATCTTTCCTTTCCATGCCTTCTTTCCTTGGGAAGCCACCCACCATAACGGCGATGTTGACTCCAGTGCATGCCTCTACAACATTAGTTGTAGCAACAACACCTGATACAATACACAACAAGTACCAATTACATCAAACTCCACCACAACATACACACATAAAAACACAGTTCCATATACAGATAACAAATCAGTCGAGTATTTCTATTCGATATTTACCTTTAAGCAGAGGGAAAGCGGCATCCACCAACTCCATCTTGACACCATTCAAAGCCTCAACAGCCGGTGGAATATCGAGCATTTGCAGAATCATTGGCTGATCCGCTCTGAGCTTGATTCCCCTTGTGATCATTGGCACAAGCGCATATCCAATTTGTCCTTCAAATCCACAGTATAAACAGTTTCACACATCCTTCACTCAAAAATCATCCAAACTCACAACTCATCCAAAAGGGGAAGGGAGCATGCACCAACACAAGGAAGAGATGGAAGGGTTTTATTTTGGAAATTTTTCATTATTGTCGGTTAAAACTAACAGAAACATTTTTTTAAATGTAGACCGACAGAACATTTTCATTATAACGACAAAAAATAAATTGTGGCAAAAAATCCCCCAAAATTTCCTCCCAAAATTTTAAATCCCCCCCCCCCCAAAAAATTTGTTACAATTTAAAAAAATAAAATAATAATTCTTTGGTTTAATAAATAAATAAATAATATGTATTTAAATAGAATACGTTTTTAAAAATTAAATAAATAATTATTTGGTTTAATAGATAATAACCCATGTAAAATATGCGATAAAGAAACAAAAAGACAATTGTACAATGAAAATGTCATCACACAAACTAAATATTGTCTAATCAATACTTGAAAAACATAAAAAAAAAATTTAGAGCAAATTACTTTTCCCACTTCAAAATTTAGGCAAATTTAACGGAGATATGCATTCTACAAAACTATTTTCAATGATCTAACCGTCAAACTTGTTTGTAGATACTACAAGATCGCATACGTAAAAAATTACAAAAAATAAAATTCAGAGATTAGGTAAAGGAACAAAAGTTTTCGACGGTTATGAATGAAAAATCACAATTTAACGGTTATTTTGGCTCCGGTTTTGGTGATTTTTTTACAGTTACACTCCTCGACCCCATAAGAATGCAATAAATGAATTCGATCTTCAATTTAAAATATTTATACTAGTGGATACCACAAAATCTTATTTTATACTTACTGGAAGTATAATATTAACTCTAAGTGTTTGTTTAATCTACCGTTTTGACACGATATGCATTCTACGAAATTTTTTTCAACGATTCAACCATTAAACTTATTTGTACACACTCCGAGATTGCATATGTAAAAAATTGTGAAAAACAAATATTCAGAGATTAGGTAACGGAACAAAAGTTTCCGACAGTTATAAACGAAAAATCACAATTTAATGGTTATTTTAGCTTCGATTTTAATAATTTTTTACAGCTACACTCCTCGACCCTATAAGAAGGCAATGAATAACTTTGATGTTCAATTTAAAATATTTACATTTTATACTTAATGGAAGTATAACATTAACTCTAAGTGTTTGTTTAATATACCGTTTTGATGCGATACGCATTCTACGAAATATTTTTCAACGATCCAGCTGTCAAACTTGTTTGTACATACTCCAAGATCTCATACGTAAAAAATCGCAAAAAACAAACATTCAGAGATTAGGTAACGGAACAAAAGTTTTCGATGGTTATAAACGAAAGGTCACAATTTAACGGTTATTTCAGCTCCGATTTTGATGATTTTTTTACAGCTACACTCCTCGAACCTATAAGAATGAAATGAATGAATTCGATCTTTAATTTAAAATATTTACACTAGTGGATAAATCTTATTTTATACTTAATGGAAATATAACATTAACTCTTAAGTGTTTAGTTAAATCTATCAATTTGATAAGATATACATTCTACGAAACTAGTTTCAATGATCTAACCGTCAAATATGTTTGTATATACTCCGAGATACCATGTAAAAAATTGTAATAAAAAAAACATTAAGAGATAATGTAATGGGACCCCTGTTTTTTTTTCTTTTTTAACCAATATAACATTTTAAATTTTACCACACAAACTAAAATATTTTTTTTAACCAAGAAATCTAAATGAACAACAAATTGAAAAATATTTGGTGTAAAAATAATAAAATAGTCAAATTCTGTCGGTTATAACCGCCAGAATACTAAAATAATAAAATAGTCAATTTATGTCGGTTATAACCGCCATAATTAACTTAAAAACCATCAGAATATGTTAAAAATATTTTAAAAAACAAATTCAAAAATATTGGCGGTTATAATAATTTTATGGCGGTTACATCCAACACTAAATATCCACCAGGAACTTATGTCGGATATAACCGACAGGATTTCGTTGTTATCCGACACTAATTGAGTGATGTGTCAGATATCTTTTATCCGACATAATGGCTTATAAAACCACCATCATCATCCGACACCTAAAGCTAATATTGTAGTAGTGTCATGGTCTTTTAAGAAGCAACAAACATTTTCGAGATCTTCGACAGAAGCAGAATATCGTGCATTGTCCTTCACTTCAGCTGAGTTGGATAGGATCTGTTGGTACCATATATTGGGCCTCGTCTTTAGGCCTCATTACTGAGCCCATAACCCATGTAAGAGGAGGAAACTCTTACTTTATAAAAGGGATCCTCCTCACCTTCACTAAGGGGAAGGAGAAAGCATTACAACAATAGAGGGCAATACCTTCTCAGCCAAACAGAGAGCAAAATGGCAAGGGTTACATCCACAGAGAGCTCATTTGCTGATCCATTGTAATCCATACATTTATACAGTGAAATGGAATCAACATCAGTGTGGACGTAACCCAAACATTGGGGTGAACCACGATACATCTTTGTGTTCTTGATCGTTTGTGTGATTCACGGTCGATTTACGTTGGTCCAAGATCCTCCAAATTTTATGCATCAACATTTGGCGCCGTCTGTGGGAAACAACACGAAAAGCTATGTCCGTTCTCTTTCATTTTTTCATCTCACCACCGTGAAACCTCACCACAATATCCACCGTGAATCTACAGAAACCCAGGAACCAAACACTTGCAGAGTCACTGCAAAAGCCATATCTAAAAAAATGCAGAAATGAAACCTCTCTCTTTTCTCATCTCCATATTATAAATAAGCACAAGCATAAACAGAAGCAAAAAACCCAAGTGCTTTTCTCCTTCTTCTTCCTCTTCCACTTGTTGGGTACGTGCAGTTTCTGTTTATTTACACATGGCTAAGCAGCTCGAGACGTCGACGACGAGCCCAGAATCCATGCCAAGAATGATAGCCTTCATGTCCTCTATCCTCGAGCGGGTTTCCAACTCTAATAACTTGAATTACCAGTTAGAACCGACTCAGAAGCTGTCGTCTTCCACTCCATGACCACACCCACCATCTCAATCCATAGCTACCTCCAGAAGATCTTCAAGTACACTGACTGTAGTCCATCTTGCTTCATCGTCGCCTACGTATATCTCGACCGTTTCACCTAGATGCAGCCATTGCTACCCATTGATTCTTTCAGCTTTCACCATTTGCTCATCATTAGTGTCTTGGTCTCTGCAAAGTTCATGGACGACATTGCGACGAAGGATGAGGAAACGTCATCGTCTGTCTCGTCGTCTTCGGCCTCCTATGTCTTCGACGTTTTGGGTTCATCGACGTCGGTGTGCTTGGAGCTCTGGCAAGCCTGCGCGGGCCCATTGATTTCGTTGCCGAAGAAAGGAATTGTGGTGCTGTATTTGCCGCTGGGCCACCATTATCTCTGACAAACTCACCGGCCGATCCAAGGGTTACGGTTTTGTCACTTTCAAAGAGCCGGATGAGGCTAAGAAGGCTTGTGAGGACGCCACTACGGTCATCAGCGGTCGCCGTGCCAATTGCAACCTTGTTTTCCTCAGGGGTCGCTACCTTAGGTCAGCTTTAAACACCACTCCTCCTCCTCAACGAGGATCCAACGGTGGCAGAGCGAGGTTCATGTCACCTGCTCCCACACCTGCATCTGCAAATCACGTGCAGTGGTACTACCTAACACCAACAAATACTCCAGCTACACCATTCCACCACCAGCATCACCAGGCTGTTCCATTTTATGGCTACTCATCCACATACATTGCTACTGATATGAGTTACAATCATAAGGTGGGCTGCACGGGTGGAGCTTACATAAACGGGCATTACTCTGCTCCTCAAGTGTACCCAGCACAGCCAATGGTCGGACACAACACTTTGATGCCAATGTATCCTCTCTACTACCATCATCACCATCAATCACATACAATGGGCTTACATGCTCATATCTACTCGCCGATCATGGCCGGACACGTGGCCGCAGTCCCGACCATCATGTCCAAACCAGTATCGATTGCTCCTAACACAGCAGCAAAACTTTCATCATGAATGAACAAATACAACCCACTCTCCCAGAACAGCCCCACGAAGGAAAACATAATATATATATATATATATATATATATATATATATGTATATAAGGGGCTAAGCAAAGCTTGGCATCTGAGGATGGCTTTTGTCGACAACCCCCATGCAAAAGATAAGATCTTTATCTTTTTTATTTAATATGTTATTGATATATGTTATGATGAAAGTAACCTTTATTATTTAAACGTTATGATGAAACCTTCATCATGAAGGAACAAATACAACCCACTTATCCTAGAACAGCCCCGCGAAGGAAAAAAAATATATATATATATATATTATTCATCACCTAGTGACATATATTTAACCCAAGTACCTATACAATATTTATTCATGGCCTAGAGTATTGTGACTGTCATTAAACTATGTCACTTATACAACATGTGATTTACCACACGACTAAATAAATTATTTATTTGTAGTAGGCACATGGTACAATATTTTGCATTACCAAACTATGTCAATTTGATTTATTCATTTTACGATCATACTTATACTGTCATTTATTGTCATGAATTATTGAGCAACTAGATCCACTGATCAACATTGTTGCTGATTAAATAAGTCTACCAACTTATAGACTGATGGGCCACATGCTTACGGTGACAAATATTTAGTCCGAACAATGATCTCTTGTTTGACTGGACACCCACTTTCTCGGACACTCGCTTATTTGGACACCTATGTGCCTGGACCCAACTCAAAGACCTTACAGATAGCCCCGACTCGATGACCTTACATATGGCCCCAACTCAAAGACCCAACTTGCGGACCCTATCCGTGAATCCGACACATAGACCCAATATGTGAACCCGACAAGCGGACACGAATCATGTCAAAAATCAACTCATACTAAGTGCATGTTGACATAAAGTACATAC